CAAAGGGTCCCCAAAATGTGGGATGTCCCACAAATGTCCGTGCAGTGCATGGTACCCCAGGAAGGGTCCCTAAGATGCGGGATGCCCCAGGAGAATCACCAAGGTCCAGGAGGATCCCTGAGGTCTGGGGTGCCCCACATGGGTCCCTGAAATGTGGGACACCCCAGGAGGGTCCCTGAGGTCTGGGGTGCCTCACACGGGTCCCTGAAATGTGGGGTGTCCCAGGAGGGTCCCCAAAATGTGGGATGTCCCACAAATATCCGTGCAGTGCATGGTACCCCAGGAAGGGTCCCTGAGATGTGGGGTGCCCCAGTAGGGTCACCAAGATGCAGGATACACTATGAGGGGTCCCTGAGTTTTGGGGTGCCCCAGAAAGCATCCCCAAGATGTGAAGTGTCCCACATGGGTCCCTGAAATGTGGGGTGTCCCATGAGGGTCTGTGCAGTCCAAGGTGCCCTGAGAGAGGTCCCTGATGTCTGGGGTGCCCCCCACACGGGTCCCTGAAATGTGGGGTGCCTCAATAGGGTTACCAAGATGCAGGATGCTCAACGAGGGGTCCTTGAGGTCTGAGGTGACCCAGGAAGCATCTTCAAGATGTGGGGTGCCCCACATGGTTCCCTGAAATGTGGGACACCCCAGGAGGGTCACCAGGGTCCAGGGCTCCCCAGGAGGATCCCTGAGGTCTGGGGTGCCCCACATGGGTCCCAGAGATCTGGGGTGCCCCACATGGGTCCCTGAAATGTGGGACACTCCAGGAGGATCCCAGAGATCTGGGGTGCCCCACATGGTTCCCTGAAATGTGGGACACCCCAGGAGGGTCACCAGGGTCCCGGGTTCCCCAGGAGGATCCCTCAGGTCTGGGGTGACCCCAGGAGGATCCCAGAGATCTGGGGTGCCCCATATGAGTCCCTGAAATGTGGGACACCCCAGGCGGGTCACCAGGTCCAGGGTTCCCCAGGAGGATCCCAGAGATCTGGGGTGACCCCAGGAGGATCCCAGAGATGTGGGGTGCCCCACATGGGTCCCTGAAATGTGGGGTGCCCTTAGGAGGGTCACCAAGATGCAGGATGCCCTACGAGGGGCCCCTGAGGTCTGAGGTGTCCTGGAGGTCCAGGATGCCCTATGAGGGTCCATGGCAGCTGCTGGCCCGCGCGTGGGGGCTCTTAAGGGGTGGAGCATCCCTACATAGGCTTCACTTTTCCTGGGAATGCAGTGGGGATTGGGACCACCAGAGGTGCCTGCGGAGATGCCGTGTCCTCCCCACAGCCCCACTGCTGCAGGGACTGCCCCCACATCTTGGAAATGATTCCAGCGTGGAGCAGGCAGCCCTTCTCCTCCCCCTTCCCATCCATTCTCAGCCTGTTTTCCTGAACGAGGACCAGACCCGACCCCTTCAGAGCCTCCCAGTGAATCCCCACTGCTCGGGTTGGCCGAGCTCCCATCCCAGTGCCGTTGTGCCACGATGGCATCCCTGTATGGGCAACGTTCCCCACGCATGGCTGAGGTTTTTGGACACTTAACAGTGTCCCATCCCTCCCTCCCCCCCCCAACAATATCACAGTGCCCCACATTCAAACGGGAGGCGGATGCCACCGAGGTCCCTGAGCCGTTTGCAGCCGAAGCCAAATTCTTCACGGAGTCGCGGCTGCTGCAGAGGGATGTGCAGATCGTGCTGGAGAGCTGCCACAACCAGAACATCCTGGGTACCATCCTGCACCCGGTAAGTGGGGGCTGGAAGGAGGGGTGCAGTGGGGTGGGATGGGGAGCTGGTAGTGGCTGTCGGTCTGTCTATGAAATCCACGCTACCCCAGCATGGGTTTTTTGAGATATGGGATGACCCAGGAGGGTCACCAAGGTTCAGGAGGATCCTTGAGGTGCCCCACGGGGGTCCCTGAAATGTGGGGTGTCCCAAGGGGGGG